CTTTTATATCAATCAGGGATCTATACATCATTTTCAATTAGATATCTTACTTCCTTTGATGATGTAGGAAACCATCACATTTCACATTTCCTCCTTGAGGAAGCAGGAGTTAAATGCTTTACTAGGGCCAACATAGCCAATGATCAATAGTTGTTCAGATTCTTGGAATTTGGTGCTGAGGCTTGGGCTGCTCCTCAGGAAAATGATGATGAATTAGAAATTGCATTTTTCCTATATTTACATTCCCCTCTTACTAATAACCTGCACTCTTCACACTATTAGAGGACCTTTAATTACAGTACCCATCCCAGTAGCAGTGAATTATAGGAAGAGGGAAGAAATTGTTATAACCATGTTTCCGTGTATATTTCTGTATATTCTGTATATATTTCTGTATATTCTGTATATTTGGTGACTGAACTGGATAGATCACTATTTCCCAAAATATGTTTCTTGGAATTTTGGTCAGAATAAATACTGCAAGAAAAATAGGATTTTTTTTAAGAAGTCAAAGTTCTCTTTTATACTCTATTTTTGAAACTCATAGCACATGTTAGCCATTTAAATTGCTCTGAGAAATTCAAATAATTTTAAAACTTGGTTTTACCTAATATATTTCAAATCTGGACACAGAGGAACCCATTTATAAAAATCTGAACATTTACCCGGGGTATTCATTTTTCTTGGAATGGGATTAAGAAAATGTTCATAGATCATTTAGATCACAGGTTCTCAACAGGAAGGAAAGAGGATTCTGACCTCTGGGAAACATGTAGAAAATGTCTGGAGACATTTTTGGCTGTCACAATACGGGGGGGAGAGGGAGGTACTGGTATGTGGTAGGTAGAAGCAAGACATGATGTTAGATAATTTATAATGCAGAAGACAACCTTACTTTTACCCCCCTCCCAAGATAATGGTCTGGCCCCAAATGTCTATAGTGCACTGACTGAGAATCCCTAGCATAGATACAGCATGTTCAAATGGGACTCTGATCTGGGATCTGTAGGCTAGCAGGTGGCACTTTGCATTCACCAGATCTTGTCATTTAATGTTGGCCATGCAGACCTTATTCTTTATGTACAGACTACTGATAACACTGTCTCCAAGTCAATCTGAAAATCTGAAGTGAACACTTTGATATCATCTGTTGAAGTTATCAGCAAGCTGTTAGGTATCTGTTATTTTACTGATTTCTAACTTATGCTCCTGAAAGCTTTCTATGATATATATGTATTAAATGCTACAAAGTGATCCATCTGTATAATTAGAGAAAAATAAGGTTAAACATGTATCTGTAAATATTGCATAAGTGTATTATTTTAACCATCATTTATTTCAAATAATCTCAGTGTTCAGTAATCTTAAAAACTAGCTTTACTGATAGCTCCTTTCTACAGAAAAGGAAAATTATTCCAGAGAGGACACCCCATGGCCAGTTTGGGAAGGCCAGGCCTAGAGTCCAAGGCTCCAAAACTTCTGGTCCTCTTTCCTTTTCTATAATCATGCTGCTTCCATTTTCCACACTTAATTTTATATGTGACATGAAAGAGTTATTAACACCATAAATATTCATGAATTCAATTTGTATCTCCCAACTGTTTGTGTTTGTTCTCAACTCTTAATTTGAAGCTGCGAATGGATAAAGGTTTCTATCAAATGTTACAAGAAAGACATTCTCAGTAGTCGTTTTCTTATAATCTCTCTTGTCAGTCAGATATATTTAGCCAAATCAGAAATGGCAGCAGATGATACAAAAATCATTAAGTGACGGGGCACCTGGGTGGCTCAGTCCGTTAAGTGTCTGACTTCAGCTCAGGTCATGATCTCACAGTCTGTGAGTTCAAGCTCCGCATAGGCCTCTCTGCTGACAGCTCAGAGCCTGGAGTCTGCTTCAGATTCTGTGTCTCCCCCTCTCTCTGTCCCTCCCCTGCTCATGCTCTGTCTCTCTCTGTCTCAAAAATAAATAAAAACATTAAAAATTGTCAAAGAACCTTCTTATGCTATTCTTAACCTTCCACATTAAAACAAATGAACATGCAGAAATTTAACAACCCACTTCAACATCTAGTAAACCAGTTGTCACCAGGAATGTTGATTTTTCTTCATCAAGCAGGGAGGTGCAGAGCAAACTAAGTCAACCCAGACTTGTGGTCAGATCTTACACTGGATTTTAAATTCTGACTCTACCTAGTCAGATGAATTCACACAAGTTTTCTGTTAGTGTCAAAAAATGTCTTTTCTGAGCTAAATGACAGCTCATTGCTAGACAGCTATATTTAAACTTCAAATTTCTTTGCAATTTGAAAACCAGAGACAGATTATAGGTCTATTTCAGTAGAATACTAAACAGGGCCCCCAAAATAACTAGTTATCTTGAGAGTATGATTATGACAATATATCTGTGTCACAGCAGATGTTTTATGCTATAAGAAACAATGACAATCTATTAAAGACTAGTGGGCCCTTCTATAAAAATAAGCAAAGACTTAATTTTTGTATCCCATCTTGTATCAATCTTCACTGGGTCCCATTCTTTTATCATTAGCCAAATAGCAACAGTATGTCATGTGTCTATCATGCTTTTGATCAATACTCAAACACTATAGCCATCAATTAATGCTGACTACAATTATTAGAACATCTAAGCATTCAAGATTTGTCTATGTTATATGTAGGTTGAAGTATAAATGGGAGGCCATCAATTAATATCAGCAGCAATGATAATAGCCCACTTCATGAAAATTATAGCAGTTACAAATCAAAAGCATAATAAAAATCAGAAAAAGTTTATACTGACTTATGGGGACATTTGTTTAAGTGTGCTTGAGACATGACATGCTATTCTTATGATATTCTGCACATCACCGATTTTACCCTAAGTCAAGAAAGTATTTTTAAAATTTAATCATAACCAGAAAGAATTTCCCACCTTGTTCACTGTCACTGGCATATCCCTCACCCAAAAACAATTTGGCTACAGTTGCAGTTATGATATTGTAATAACCATCAGAAAGCCTACCACTTCAAGTCAATCAAGATCTGCTTATAAAATATAACCAAGTATAATTTCATGATTCAATAAATAGTATATAAATCTGCTATTATTGGTTTTCATTTTCTTTTCAATACTACCCATTCCCATCTTCTCTCAGGTAGTTATTCTGACTATTCAAATGCCATTGCCCTTTATTGTTATTCAAATGAAGCCTTTTTATTAGATCCTCTGCCACTATATATAAGGCTCTACTTCTCCAGCAGCAATTATTCTATTTCTGAAGGAAAATAGAAGTGATTGCACACAAAATTCTGAGCTCTTCCTTTATGTTAGGTTAAGTCTATGCCTGAAATTGGATTTTCATTTAATCCTATCCAAGAAGACCAAAAGGTTTTTTATCAGCTATCTTATCAAAGCAGGAAAACATTCTTTTCCATGCAGGTTTTTTTGGTTCAAAACCCATGAAATCATAACTCCTTCCCAATGATGTATTTAAGACACACTTACTGACCAAATTAAACTCTAATTTGTTTCATCAGGTGGTGTTCATCTTTTTTTGTATATATTTTTCTTTAAAAAGATAGGGAAAACCAAATACCCTTTATAAATAGTTCGAATAAAATTTATAATTCATTTAAATAACTTGTACACCTTGGAAGAGATCTATGGGAAATATAAGCCAAAAGATACATAACTATAAACACACTGTTCCCAGTTTTATTAATACAATACACTGGTTAACAAAAGAAAACTTTATCGATACCAGGTTATAGCTCTAAAGAACATATCTAACAAATATCACACAGTTATATAAAATTAACTTGTATGTCTGTTAGCAGCAAGCAGACTCAAAAAATATTTTCTTTTGTTGTATCCTACGAGAAGTTTTTCCATGCACCGAAATAGACTGTTACTATAAGCACAGATCTGTTCTTAAGCAGGGAAACTGATATAAAGCACAGAACAAATGAAATTATTAGGCACTTTGCCTAAGAATTACAGTCCCTCAGAGAAGACAAATTTCAAGGTTATTAGGATTTGTTACAAGATGCATGAAGAAAGGGCAGAAGAGCTTAGTACAGAGACCAATGGTGATACATTTGGATGAGATTGGACAAGAAAGCCACAGGGTTAGCAAATATTTACCGGCCATCTCTGTATACAGAGAGAGTACTCTCCCCCACCCATGCTGCCAAGAGATAAGAAATAAAGACTTCAGGGGCTTACTGACCCTGGGGAGAAAAAGCTAATTACATTAAACAATTCTGGCACTATGGGAGGCATCATGTGATTCAGCACTAGCATATTTATTCCAGATAACAGGAGCCATAGGAATTTAGGAAAAGCAACGGCAGATTCCATAAGAGCACCTATGTAGAGCATGACCACATAGAAAATAACATCATAACCATTTTGATCAGCCTCAATTCCCAAGAGGCCCCAGGGACCAAGTATCTTGAAAATATGCCTTTTATGATATTAACCTTTTTTTTTTTCCAAATTACCTATACCAATGTTCTCCCATAACTTTCTTTATCAAGAATCAGAGCCCACCAGGAAGAACAAAAAACTAAACATGAAAGGCCTATAGAATAGCATTCTTAAAATATCCTCCTTTCATATGAAGAGAAGCAGACATTTTAAGCAGCTGTATTCAACTTTTTAATTACAGGAAAACTCACTCTTTAAGCAGGCAAGGGTGAGAGAATTTAGGTTCTAGTTTCCACAATGTAAGTTTGCTGTGTGGCCTTGGACAAATTAATTTCCTGACCTTGACAAAGTGTCATGATTTGAGCAGGTCCTTGACTTAAGCACAACTTTTGGCACTATTGCTTTACTTTCATTAAAGGTATAAAATTCTCTAAGGACCCTCTGGTGATTTTTGCTTCCAAAGGTGATTTTGACATCAAGTGTAAGAAGAAAGTTTACCAACTCCCTGACTCTGTGATCAACACCAAAGCTATCAGGCCTGCTATAAGTTAAAGGCATGGATTTCACTCACCTCCATAGACTTCTGTGTTGTTCCTCGAGCTGAGTTAGAAGATGCTCAATATATTTATTGGAGTCCATGTATTCCTGCACATGTAGACACACAAAGACAAATAAAGCTCATTACAATAGTCACTGGAATTTGGATTATATTTCTCTTTGCAGAAAAGATTTTTGACAAAATAATCCCTGATCCCTCTCAGTTCTAGGAGTCAATGCATCTGTGACTTACATGCAGAGTTCCTCATAGATAAATATTTTCTCCATAAATTTGGATCATTCTATAAACAGAGAATTTGACTTCTACAAAGTTAGCATAAAAGCCCTCTTATTCACAGATGAAAGCTAAATTTCATGGTCATCTACACTGTGGTACACATATTTTACCATTTAAAATAAGTAAGCCAATGATGCTGCTGACCTTAGAAGAGTAAGAATAAAGTAGACAATACAGGTCTTGATTACACTGGTCTTATTATAATTACTTCCTAGTAAAAACACTACTTTAAAAAAAATTAGTATTTATTTATTTTTACTGTCTATTTATTTGAGGCAAGGGGCAGAGAGAGAGGGAGACCCTGAATCTGAAGCAGGCTCCAGGCTGCAGCTGTCAGGACAAAGTCCGATGCGGGGCTCAAACTCATGAATGGTGAGATCATGATCTGAGGCAAAGTCGGATGCTTAACTGACTGAGCCACCCAGGCACCCCGAAATATTTATTTATTTATTGAGAGTGAGAGAGAGAAAGACAGAGAGTGCGCACGCACGCATGAGTAGAGGAGGGACAGAGAGAATCCCAAGCAGGCTCCTCACTGTCAGTACAGAGCCCAATGTGGGGTTCAATCCCACAAACTGAGATCATGACCTGAGCCAAAATCAAGAGACAGATGCTTAACCAACTGAGTCATCCAGGTGCCCCTGAAAACACTACTTTTGAACTATATAGAACGCTTTATATATTCACTGAGCATACTGTTTGCAATGATGAAACATGTCCATTTCCCTTTATCTCTTTATATAAAAACATAGTCTAATTAGTTTGGGTTTTTTCCCCCCCTTTGGTCTCCTAGAAAAAAAAAAAATCTACCTTCTAAGAAGATATGAAAGCAAGGTATATATTTTTTCAATACGTCAATTTTTGTCAATCAAAATGTTTTCAAGAAACATTTCTGAAAAAATAATGAATTCCCTTACAACATGAGATTTATAGAAGTTTAAAGGTTATTAAAATGATTTTTTAATTAGTGATTTCTGAGTATGAGGTTCATATGCAAGAGTCTCATTTGTCATGTATCAAGCAAAGCACAATGTGTAAAATCTCTGATGCTTGGTTTCATCCTGAACCTGATACTTCTTTTACTTTCTCTCTGAACATCTAGCCTGCAATCCTCTGTGTTTATAGTAAATCTATACTATGGAAGAGTATGCAATGATTTCCGTGTTAAGGTACCCATGAAAGTTACTGTTTTGTTTCTTATGGATTTGAGCTAAAATGAGAACTTTGATTAATAATGATTCTTTCTGAAATACATTTGTTTTGATGAAGTGCTATGTTTAATCTATTGCTCCTATAAGAATATGTATTATAATGAGGGAGGGTAGAAACTACACAGTAAGAAGGGAGCTGATATTATGGAAAAAGTCCTTTCCTGAGTTTCTGGACCTAGATCTGCTCATGTAGCCCTTTTTACCTTTCTACAATATTTCAGTTAGACTAGATAGCACACCACATCCTTTCCTAGCTAAAACTGCTAATTCTCTAACAGTATAACTTTATTTCAGATGATTAGCGAAATAATATTCTTTTCCAGGTTAATAATTTAAACAAGACCATTGAGCATATTAAATCCAAAGCAGAAATCTGTTAATGAAGAAAGTTTTAACAGTTTGCAGATATGGTATTATGTATCCTGATCAAGATTTAAAGATTTAGAACACTCAGTTACCAAAGACATTAATTTTCAAATACACCCATGAAATAAATTTTAAACAGGTTCCAGTTAGAAACAAATACATAAATCTCAAAGTCATTCATTCATTTTTTAACTCAATTGTTTTTTTTCAAAATCTATTATTCTCCAAATGCTATTCTAAGTTTGGTTCATAGAGTAATAACCAAGAGGGAGAAAGTTCCTGCTCTCTAAGAGCTTACGCTCTGTAGAGGGAGGTAGTGAACACATGGACATCTGATTGGTGATATGCTATGAAGGAAACACACCAGTGATGAGAGAATTTAAATGGGGAAGGGTACCTCCCTGGTATAAGGTGGTTGGAAAGAGATCCAAACAAATGATATTTGAGCTAAGACCTGGAAGAGAAGAAGGAGGTAGGCATATAGAGAAAAGAGAGAGGAGTGAAAGGAAACAGCATATGCAAACATCCCCAATATGTGGTGCTAAAGGAATAGAAAGAAAGGCAGTGGGGCTGGAAACAGAGTGACTATGGTGTGGAGTCTAAAATACAGTTAGCAAACTAAGCGGGGCCAAAGCATGAGCAAGCAAGCTCTGGAAAACGGTTTGCACTAAAACCCATAGATTTGTTATTTTGTTCACTCTTCTTAGCTCAAGCAAGAGGATGAAGCTGAAAGGTATGTGATTATAGATAGGATCTTTCAATCAAGAGTTAGGTTCAAATCCTAGTTTTGGTACTTACCTAGCTATGTTCCCTAGGTCAATTATTTAATCTCTCCAAGCTTTATTTCCATCATCTTCAGAGAGAGAACTCATGGTCAATTTACAGAGGTGTTCTAAGAATTTAATAGTTTAAGTATGCATATATTATAGTGTCTGCCAAGAGGTAAGCATAGCCTTTTTCATAATACCACTCACCTCTTCTCAAAGGCAAATCACTTCACAATGTGAAGGTAATATCCATTTTCTCTTATCTTACCCAACATCAAATTTTTGAGTGTATGCTTCTTCAATTACAGTTGCTGAATATTAGAATAGGATGTTAGACAGAGATGAATAGTAATAATACAGATTTTCAACCATTAAATGTAGGGGCCGCTGAATTGGGATTTACAAGCTATTTCAAGTAATGATATGGGCTGTTTCAATTTAAAGTAGCTTCACCTGGGGTGCCTGGGTGGCTCAGACATTTGAGCATCCAACTCCCGATTTTGCCTCAGGTCATGATTTCAGGGTCATGGTATCAAGCCACGCTCAGCACAGAGCCTGATTAAAATTGATTCTCTCTTCTCTCTCTCTCCCCAGAATAAATTTTAGGAATAAATTTTAGGAATTATTCATCAATATTATAAATTATTATTTTATAAATTAAATTTTCATCATCTTTTTCTTCAATCATCTTCAATCCATCATCTTCAATAATAATGTTTTAAATGTCTTAAATGTCATCGTTTTCTTCCTTCTTCTTTCTTTCTCTTCTCTTCCCTTTATCTTCCTTTCCTCTTTCTTTCCTTCCGATCTTTCCTTTCCTTCCTTTTCCTTTCTTTCCTTCCTTTCCTTTTGTTTCCCTTTCCTTTCTTTCTTCTCTCAATATTCTTCCTTCCTTTTCCTTTCTTCCTTCCTTTCCTTTCTTCCCTTCCTTTCTTTCTTTCTTCCTTTTCCCATCAATGACTCTTTACTTTTAATAAAGAAGTTTATCAAGAATATGTTAATAGATTACATGAAAAGATGTTCACGACCACCATCATGGAATGTAATAAAAGTTATAATGTAATATCATTGCATCGGACTGAATATTAAATTAGAAAAACATGAAAGTTACACCATAGGTAGGCAGGGAGATTACATGAACTTCCTTCTTAGAAATTGTTAGGCTGAGTCAAATCAGGGGACCCACTATGGAGAGGTGGACGTTTCCCTCAAACATTAACAATAGAACTGCCTACCACAGGATCCAGTAATGCCACTACGGGGTACTTACTCAAAGAATACAAAAACATGAATCTGAAAAATATATGCACCCCTATTCACATGCAATATTATTTACAATAGCCAAGATATAGAAGCAGCCTAAGTGTCCACGGATAGATGAATGGATAAAGAAGATACAGACAGGCACACACTAGAATATCACTCAGCCATAAAAAGAAAAGAAAAGAAAAGAAAAGAAAAGAAAAGAAAAGAAAAGAAAAGAAAAGAAAAGAAAAGAAAAGAAAAGAAAAGAAAAGAAAACTTGCCATTTGCAACAGCATAGATGGATCTAAAGGGTACAATACTAAGCAAAATAAGTCAGTAAGAGAAAGACAAATACCCTATGATTTCATTCATATGTGGAACTTAAGAAACAAAACAGATAAACAAAGAAAAAGAGAGACAAACCAGAAAACTCTTAAGTACAGAGAGCAAACAATGCTTACCAGAGGGGAGCTGGGTGGGAGAGAGGTGAAAGGGATTAAAGAGTACACTTATCATGATCAGCATGAGGTGTTGTAAGGAAGTGCTGAATCACTAGATTCCACACCTGGAAGTAATATACCACTGTATGTTAACGAAACTGAAATTAAAATTTAAACAGCATGTAGAAACTTTTAAAACAAAAAAAAAATTAAGAATAATATAAAGATTCCCACTCTCTAACTGCTCCATGATAGCGAGACAATTTAGGTGGGAGCTCTCCAGTGTCTGGGTAGGATACCCCTGGATCCAGCCAGGAGAACATTAGTTGCGTGAATACTAGAGTGTGCTATTGCTAAGGTGCAATGAAGAAGCTGAATCTAGTTCAGCAGATAGCGGTTATCACCAGGAAAATTCAACTCACGCAAAGGTTTCCTGACCTATTATTTTTTCTTAACTAAAACTTACACAAAACTTCATTGCGTCAGGCATTGGGCTAAGTACTTTTGCAGTATTTTCTCATTTAAACTCAATATCCCCAAAAGGTAGATACTATTATTATCCCCATTTTGAAATGACGTAACAGACTTTCCAGGGTCATACAGCAAGGAAGTGGCAGAACCGGGATTTGAGCCCTGATATGAGTCCAGTACAGAACCACTCTGTATGTTCTTCCTAAACCCACCCTGCTGGCTGACTCATCCCCATTATGTTTGTATATGCTATTCCTTTTGCGTAGAACACTTAACCAAAATTTCTGGTATTGCCTATACCACACTCATC